GACTTAAATGGTTATTGACCCGAGCCAGAAGAGACAATTTAAGACATGACAGACTCGATACTTAAGCTCGAGCATACGAAACGCGGAACCTCCAAATTTTACTAGCTATATATCTAAAATATATTTGTGTATGTGTGTGGATATATTTTCGACAACCTCTTTTGTGCTATTGAACTTTGCCGTTGTCGCTTGAACTTTGCAGCAGCAACTGAAGGCTACGGCGTACAGCTGCCGGCTGAGTCAGTGACGTTGACGTCAGCTCCGTGGGAGAGCAGAGTTGGGGGCGTGTCATTGACAACAAAGCGCACAAAGTTCATATCATTGATATTCATTAAACACATTACATCGGATACATGTATACACACGTGCGTACGTACACACACATACATACATACATAAGCGAATACATAGCTGAAGTCTAAGGCAATGAACTGCAAGCAGGAGACGCGACCACAAAGGCAGAGACAAAGAAGACCAGGGCGAGGCATTCGTCAGTGTACGAAAACGACAAAGAAGAAGTAATGCAAAAGCCAAAAGGAAGGCAGACAGGCAAACTACAAAAAAAAATAAATAAAAAGCCAAGGTTTCGCTTTTCATCTGCCTTTGCTAACGGTACAGGCGAGAGTTGACTGTTGCCATAGAAGCAAGGCAATGTGGTGAATATACCTATACAGCACAGCGCTGCTTCAACTGTGGTGAGAAACAAGACAAGCAACCAAAATTAAAGCTGGTCGCTGGGGCGGGTGCTGGGCAACCGTTTTACGCATTAAAGTTCCACAAGTTCCAAGGATGGAGTCAAGGTGGACACTGGAGGCCACTTCAGAATGCTAGCGGATATAACGGGGCGGTAATGTATTTTATCCGATGTCATCATTATTAATCGAACTGAATGTCAAGGGTAAAGACAACAATCGATTACTTACGTTAAGCTATAGGCCCCAAGTGAAATAATTTGGAAGTTAGCGCTGCAGGATAAATTTGTAAAGGATGAAGAATAGAAACATCTTTATCTCTCAAACTATATATGAATGTATGTAAATGTAATGTCAGATATACATTTGCTTACATACTTAATTCAGTTGAATACACCCATAGAAACGGAAAACAATTGCATAAGTAGGAAAACAAAAAATTGAGAAACAGCGATGTCTACATTCACACGAACACTCATCTGTATAGATCAGAGAGTATTAAACACTAAATATAGCATAAATGAATGAAACAACGAAACACTCCGACGTCGTCTACTCTTCAATGGTTGCATACACTCAACAATTTTTTTTTTTTTTTTTAATGCATGTTTATGTATAAGACAAAATTGTGTGTATTAATGTTATAAAATATATGTATAACGCCTCTAAAATGTAAAATATTTGGTTTTCCCTAATGGGTGGGTGTAGTTCACATTTCAATCCATTATTCAGCATTTGTCAAATGACATTAGCTACAAAAATAACACATACACACACACATATGTATAAAAACGGCACATGCACTTCGTACTAGACTAATAAGCTCTCTCTCCCTCTTCGTCTCTCTATTTTCATTTCGTAAGCAGTTATAGAACACCAACACAAAAACACTTCAATAATGCTTAGCTTTATTGTTGTTTTGCGGCTGCTGGCAGTGCAAAAGCCCCATTCAGAGGGCGTGCGAGAAGACAGAGACAGAGACAGCGATCACAGTTAGTGCGTAGTGCGTCGTGCG